GTTTTCGTCCAATTTTTGTAAATATTTACGTAACGTAGAAAAGATGGTTATTCTTTCAACCGTCTTAGCTTATTGAAATAACAGTTTTTGACATGAAATTTGTTACGATGTTTTCGACACGCAATAAAAAACCAAAATGATTTTGTCGGCACGTAATAAAAAAATTCATCGCAAAAGTTATCCTAATCACTAACAATGATCGGATGAACCAATTCGCAGTTTTCTCCGAAATGGCCTAGCTCCAAAGTCAAGAAAAAAACTCTTATCTTTTTTCGACATTTTTGTGGAATGTGAAAATTGAACCAACTAATGTGCGATGTTAATTCCGATCAGCAGAGAAATTAACGGGAAAAAGGGGGGGGGTTGCGATGCGGCAGACGCTCCCCCTTTCATCCCATGGATCCGACCCACAGACGAAAATTTCTCCTCTTTGCTACTGTTTGAGGAGATTCTGTTTACGCTGACAGCTGAAATTTTTTTTAAAAGCCAACATATTTTCTAAGTTTTAGGAGTGACTGACGCGCGTCGAAAAACGGTTTTTGGCCTATATTTACAAAAAAGTGAATGAGGAGAGCTCGGAAAATCAATTTGTTTGACTTAATTTGCTTGACTTAAAGAAAGATCGGCAAATTTACGAGAAGATCCCCCGAGAAAGTCTTAGATCCGCCCCTGATTCCCATGATTAAGCGCGGCCAGCTTCTAAATAACAAGACTATTTGAACTACAGTAAATTAATATTATTTCAGTCGCAGAATTTTTCCGGAGGTGAGAACCATTGTTAGTTTGGTATCGTTAACCTGCACCTTTTTTTTTTAAAATTGAATATTTTATAAGCCTCGGCGGTGCATAAATAGACAGCGTGAAAATCTAAAACAAAGAATTATTTCAAAACGATTTGAGACCAGCTAATTCAGAAGTGATGGATTTGTGATCGTTGTGGAGTGGAATTTCTTAGACAAATATTCTTTTTAACTGGCATTTTTTGACGGATGACTTTTTTACACGTGGGAAATAATGCCCTGGCCTCAAAATGAGACTTCACCTGCAATCATTTTTTATGAAGTTGAATTTGTTTTGAAAATTGAGTCTGGAAAAATTGGAAAAAACCTTGGAAACAACACTTCCAGTTTCTCATTGACAATTAGCGTGGGTGAAGAAAAACTCCTACTCAGAGAAATTTCTGAATTGTGATTATTAAGGCCCGCCAATTGTTCCAAATTTCGCTTAAGATAAAACTGAAGCTTAAGATAAAAACATATATTAGGAAAATTTAAAGGGCTCTTTAAGTTTTCACTGCTGTTTAATATTGATTTAAAACCAATAGCATTAAAAAATATTGATTTTTGCACTCAGATAAAGTAACACAGCGTTAAATATGGTTTTGGCTAACAAAAAAAGATCAAAATATTAATACAATACCAGGGACCAATAAATTTTAGGTTGATCAAATTGATTTTCCGAGTTCTCCTAAAGCAGTAAAAAGACCCTGTTTTGGCCAAAAAAAACTTGAAAAAAACAAGGTAAAAAAGCCGTTCTTGGGCACTTTATGGAAAACTTTGACAAAAAATTGCTTTTTTTTGGCGCGCGCTCTCCTCAAAATTAGTATATATTGGCTTCGAAGGCGTCTCTAGAAAAAAATGTAGGGTAGGTTGGCCAAAAATGGATTTATTAAAAAGTACCAAAGGGGGGCATTGTTCAGCAGGGGGTCGAATCCTTGAAAAGGAAAAGGAAAAGGCAAGCGCCACCCCACCCAACCCCCTAAATCCGCCCCTGATTAATACTCTTACAGTCGTGATTCAAATGAGGTTGAGTTTTCATCTAATTTCGAGCGAGTGTAAGACCTCCTCGCTCGCATGCTTGCTCAAAATTTTTCACTAAAAAATTGATGAAAAACAATTTTTTCAAGTAGTAAAAAAATTAACTTTAATTTAATGCAGGAAAATTAATTTCGAAAACTTCATATATCGTTTTCTTTGCAAAAAAAAAAGTGTTTTTCATTTTTTACACAGACAAAAAGTCAGAAATTTTTTGTAAAAGTTTGTCTTAAAATTTTTTGTTGGGTTTTATTTTTTTGACTAGAACCGTTGTCAATTATGGCTGAGTCACTTATATTCTACGCGTTCATATAGTTCTCTGATTTTGCTGAACAATCTGAAAAAAGACTGTTTTATGAATATTGCTGGAGCATTCTTGTGCTACTTGCTCAGCAATTGAATAATAAAGCTGCTAAATTTCAGCTACTTTAATAGTCGCACTCAAATAAAGGAAAACAATATAATGCTTGTTTCGAACAGTATAGTGCTTGTTTCGAATTATAAAGCTTGTTTCCAACAGTATTTGGAAACAAGTAAAACTACTTTTTTGGCAGAATTGATATTTGAAAAAAAATTTGAAGTACTTTTAGTTGTGCCCAGAAAATTCTGCTTGTTGAAATTTTTGAGTGGGTGACTATCAATTTTTTCTATCTTGACAGTAATTAAACTATGCCCAACATTTTTTGTTTCACTTTTTTGGAGACATAAACATAAAATTTTGCATAATTTCATTTAGATAAGTTATTTTTAGCAAAATGTGGGTTGTTCATTTTTTCAAGCGATTAATTCTTGTTATAAGACAAAGGCGCTAGTAGTAAGCTTGTTATAAAATTGAAATGGAAATGTTATTAAAAAAAGTTATAGGGTTAAATTTGCAATCACAATGTGTGAGAAAGAGCTCTCACTTGACCTCAACTTCAATCTACCACATCTAGGCCAATTTCGGATAAAATAATGGTACCTCATGAAAGATATAGACGCAAAAAATCGGCCTTGGTTTACTCAGCAAAATAACACATTTTGAACTATGGAGAGATAATACTATTAGATTATCTTTCGACAGCCCTGTTATCGCCAACCGATAGCTCCTCTGTGATGCGCAGGAACCAAAACTAATTTCATCATGATTTTCATGAGAAAAGCAAAAAACTACACACTTTTAAAATTGATTTCCGATAAAACTTAGCATTTCAAGTTTATTTAAAAATTTTAACCACAATTCAACCATTGTAAAAATTGTGAAATGCAATCTACCGTTTTTGAAATTTGGGGAAAAACAAATTGAAGTGATTCGTTGTTAGTGTTACAAAAAACGGCGATTGATCTAAATGCAAGGGGAATATAAACTTTAAAAACCTTGCACGCAGCTATTCAGTGGCTCAATCTATAAGACAACTTTGTTCTTGAACGCAGAGGAGGATGTTTCTCTGAATTGATCCGAAAACGTTTTTGGTCGGATTTCCTGGCTTTTTATAATCAATCTGAGAAAGCCTGACTTTGTGTAAAAGCTTTCAATTTATTATTAGTATCTTCATATTATTTTCAATGTATGTCGGTTTTGCGTGCTGTTATGAGCTGACCTGAAAGAAAGATGCAGATTTGAAAACCTTTTTTTGTTGAAACATGAATAGAAAACTATAAAAATGCTCGAAAATGCTTCAAGTTTTCATTTCCATGAGTGCGTTGAAAAAAATTATAAAAACTATTTTTACTAAAATAAAAATAATTAGTCGTGGCTTAGATATTCAAACTGATTTTTCTAAACACTCATGATTCAAAGTCGTTCCAACCATGGGCTGTTATATGATTTATCACTCGACTTTTTCCGATGATTGTTTGTGGTCCTGCGTTTGAAGGGAAAGACTTAAATGAAAACAACGCAAACCCGAGACAAAACTTTTCCCCAGTTTTAGTGATTGGAACCAAATTATTAATATTTTTTATAATCAAAGTATGGCAACAATCTCTATACTCATAATTTTTATAAGATTCTTTCTCTATACTCATAATACTCCTAGTCATAACAATAATCATAGTCATTATTGAAATCATAATCTAAAAAGTAATGCTAAAGATAACTTTTTGCTTTCGTGGCTCAATTTCGGTTGCTTTCTAATGCTGTCTTTGTTGTCTTGGCTGTGCAAGTGACACAGAATGTTCGCGCCACATTCATAAAATACTTAAAAACAACTTTTTTTTCGTGTTTTTGTTTCATTTTGTTGTCATTTTTTGTGCGGGCTGTCAAAAAAAATCTATTCAAAATTTTTAGATTGCAATTTAGGCATAATTGACAATTTTTTAAATTCAATAGAAAAGAAAAAAAAGAAAAAAGTTACTCAGACAATTTTTTTTTATAAGAACTCTGTTGCTTTACTTGCTCCAAAGGCTAAAAGTAGACTAAAACTGGTCCTTTTTTTCAGCACTGGGGAAAATTTTTGGAAAGTTAATTGCTTCGATTGAATCACGACCAAAATTGTAATGATATATTACTCAACCCTTTATGATGATTTTTTGTGGTACCTGATTTCGCGCGGGGAAAAAAAGAATCACTGAACTAATCGCTTCTCAATTAGGAGGATAGCAGCTCGCATGTAAAAGTGGTTATTCTGGGTATTTGTGAGGAAAAAATGCCCATCAAACTCAATGAACTACTTTTTTATTGCAAGTTAGACCCGCTCTTTGTGTTACATAGGTCGCTTTAGTCAGCTTGGTTTGACCATTTGACAGTTTACTTCCATTTGTAATCCATTTTTGAAAAAGCGTTTTGATTTTCTTGTCTTTCATGCGAGCTAAAATAACCATCCAAACGTTTATATACGAGCTTTGCATTAACAAAAATTGGGTATTGGCAACTGAAAGCTAAGCAGGTTTTTCATCAAAACTGCTCCACAAGCTTCGTTAGAAAATTATTTGAACTGTTTTGTTCAGAAAAAAACCTAAGTATGGTTGGCAACAAAAAAATTGAAAAATATTCTGTGGTCGATTAGCAAAACTGAAAAACGTGCTTCTTCTAGGAATCAGTTTGCTTTAAACCCAAAGATGTCTTTTTACGCAAAAGAATGTCATAATTGAATTTTATTAGAAAAATATAAAACTATAAATACTCAAAAATTAATGATAATTCAGGAAATAACTAAACATTAAACCAACTAAACATGAAGAGTTTCAGAAATTTCTCTGTGATTGTTAGTTATAGAAGTTCGTTAGACTTTGCAGGCAGCTCATAGGATTATAGCTACTCTGCGGGTATGGTTGCATACTGAAAGCGGCATTTGGTGGTCCATAAGCCGAAGGGTTTTTCTGATGGTCCATAAGCCTAAGATATTCATCAGGGTTGAAAAATTGCATTGAAGGCTGAAATACTTTCGGCTGCAAGGGCGAAAGTTGAACGGGTGCGGGTAACGTGTATCTTTCTCCATGCAATTGCTGGTACTCATAACTGCATGTTTGAGGGTTGAGCCAATGAAAATCACCGAAGAAGTTTCCGGTCTGTGGGATTCGGGAACCATCTGAGTAGTTGGTTTCCAATCGTGGTTCCCAGAATTGTTCACTGGTGAAATCTAACTGGTTCCCAATTGGCGTGCTTGTTGTGACTTCTGACTTCACTGCTTCAACATTCTAAAATATTCATTAGAAATAAGATTATTGAAGCTTTCCATCGAAAATCTAATTTTTCTAATATAAATATTGAGGTTTCTGAGAACTTTGCAAAAGATGACTTGCTTAACAAATTTCTATTAGCACAATAGTTTTTAAAAAGTTGAACAAAAGACCTCTTGTTTTTGGAAAGGAGTCTTCAAAATGGAATCCATCAAGAATCCGGTACTTTTCCGACTGCATTTTCTTTTCACATTGCATTCTCCAGTTACAGCGAAATTTTCCTTCTCGTCAATTTCTGCCCTGTACCCGTCTACCTTTGAACTGTCGGCTCTGTTTCCGTTGATGTTTTTCAGTCGCAGAAGTTCCTGAATTGCTGCTACATCTCTGTGTACTATAGTGGTGACAAGTTCGAGTTTGACTCTCCAAAAGTTTGACTTCTTGGTTGGCTTGGAGGGATCTTTCAACACCTGAAACATCACATCACATCATTATAACTGGCTCTATTTCTTTTTGTAATCAGCCAAGAAATAACAAAGGCTCTTAATTTCAGCGAAACATCTATTTTACATGATTATTGTGCCTGACAATATTTTAAAATATATTTTTTTTTACACTCAAGATCAGAATTTTCAACTACAAAAATTGCCAAATCACATAAATAAATCAAAATTTTATTTTACATCAATCTGCTGAATAAAAGTAGACATAGCATTACTAAACTAAGAGAATTGCCAGTTTAATATGAAGTAAAAATTTTGCACTTACCTTTTCGAACACACTACTAGAAGTTAAATTGTGTCTTATCGAATCACGCCAGCCCCTATACTCCCCCCGAAAGAAGCTGAACGACTTCTCCAGGAACCCAAATATCTGTCGCAGAGTCATCTGGTGGGGGGAGGAGGAGGAGGAATGGATGGCGGCTATGATCAGTGCCTGGTAGGAATAGGGGGGCTTGTCCTGCTGTCGCTTGTAGTTCTTTTTTCTCACTCCCCCACTCTTCTGGTTTTCAGTTGAGACGGCGGGGTCGTTGTTGCTGGCAACACTTCCTCCTGAAATAAACGTCTTTTTTAGTAAATTACACCGCGTTAATGTTATTTGTGGTCTGTTTGTTTTATTTTCAAATATTTTCCAAAAAACTTTGTGGATTTTCAATTGAATAAAAGAACTTAAGATTTGATTTCTTATTTGAATTTAATTAAATTCCATTAAACTCCAACCTGACTTCTCATTTCATTTTTAACAGCCTGCTGTTTCTATACTTTTGAAGCGACAAATTCTAAATTTGATCAGTTTTTTAGAATATTGGTTTTTCTATATGCAACCACCATCAGACTTTCGAAGAACTTTTGTTTTGAGAAAAACGGCTTTTGGGATTTTGAAAAAAATATGAATTATACCTTATATAGACGCATAAATTTTGGCTCCTTCTTTTCTTAGTTTTTCTCAAAAAAAAAAATCTTTTTAATTTTTAAAAAAAATTTCATGCCTGAGCTGTTGATTTCTTCGTTTGAAGATGACGATGAAGAAGTATTGGGAGATGATGATGATGAAATAAGCCTATCCGTCGGATTCATTTTCAGAGATTTTTGACAAGATTTTCTGCTTTTGAATCAGATTTAGAAAAACGCTTATTTTTGGAACGTTTTTTATTTGCAAGTGAATTCTGGGTTAATTATGATTGAAATGAATTGGTAACTTTTAGTTTCGAATGTTGTTTCGGTTGTTTATAGTTGTAGACACCTTTCTTATTGCCTTTGTTTTTCACTAGGCCGTTTGAGAACTCTTTTTTTGCGAACAACTCAAAAAGCGTTCGACAGATAAATCGGTTTCGTTTGTGCTTCGGACAAAAGTGAATTTATTTGGAAGGTAATATCAGCCAGAATAATTTGAATTTTGGCGCATCTGGCGCGTTAAATCGTCCGGCAGACGGACATTTGATCGCACTTTTTCACCTGGGGTATCGGAACCCGCATCAAAAGAAAATGTTCCTCCTTTTTTAATGTTCCGCCACTCACTTGAAAGACGTACCATAATAGCTGGGATTAAATTTTCAAAGAAGATCTTAGTACCTACCACATCTTAATTGCTAAACACTAGATAATCCATTACTGGAATTAAATGGATTAATTAGTTACCAAACATGGATAAATTTAAAGGTTTGAAGTTTGCGCATCTTTGCATTGTAGAAGGGATCCAACAACACAACCCTCAAAGCCTAAACGGAAACGCAACGTACTTCATCCAAAATATTGATCAAACCGTGAAATATTTGCGATCAAATAAAAGATTTGAATGAAAATATGGATATTAAGTTACATTAATCTGAATGGTAAATTTACCAATCAACCTTTGGTTTTATGATTATAAGATAGAGATGTTAACTTCCTTGAGAAAAAGAACGACATCCTGCTGTGACATCAAAGATTGGTATCAAGGTTGAGATTTTTTGAGATATCCTCCGACATAATTTTTTTCATGTTATATTTTCTGGGAATGAACATCCAACTATTCCAGGAACACTAAATTAAATATTTTTAGTTGAAACTCAGGTCATGATGGTGTTACCAAACAAGTCAGGGCGGATTTTTTGATTGGTTGTGTGGTGGTTCGGGGAGGGATTTTTTTAGGGTTTTCGACCCCAAGCAACCAAAGGGTACTCCCTTTCGTATTATTTGACGACATCTATTTTCGGCAACCAGCCCCAAAATTTTTCTACAGGCGCCAGTTTTTACTAACTTTAAAGGGAAGCGCCGAAAAATGCGATTTTTGTTCAAACGCGATTTTGATGTTTTTAAAAAAAAAATTGGCTGCGGCGCAGAAACTGTTGTCAAAATGTTCTGGGAGCGCTTGGAAAATCAATTTGGTCGACCTAAAAGAATATTCACAAAGTTTTTGCCTCTGGATCCAAAAAGAAGGATCGCAAAAAATCTCCATGGCGCAGTTTTTTAAAAATGTTTGCTTAGAACAGCAGAAGAAAAATTATTCGATATTTGAATTCAAAATGATTTTGTAAGTAAAATGACCATAACTAGTTCGTGAAACTATCAAAATTAAAATTCTTCGATTTGAACGTTGGTATGCCGATATTGCTCTGGTTTCTCAACTTCACGTTCCAACTCTCTCTTCAACGTCCCGGTGTCAATTACGTAATTCTCAGTTTGTTCATTCGTTTCCCGCAGAGCATCATCGAAATCCTGAGAAACAGACACGAGAGGACTGCGAGTCTTGGATCGGAACTTTCCGCTGACGTTTGAAACACCGAATCCGGAAAGTTCTGGAATTTCAAGTACTTCTGACAGATTCGCGCCGGTTTTGTTTTTCCGCTTGTTGGTAACTTCAGGTGGTTTCAGGGAAAGGCTGTTGCCTCGTTTGAGTTTCCCAAAGTTCAGGGAGGGTGTTTTCCACTGTCTTTTGGGCTTGGTCATCGTGACTAGGTCTCGGTCAAGGGAAAGAGATTTGCCGTTGAAACCTGCAGAAACAATTATATCTATGAGACCAAGACCATCAAAACCATCTGTTTTCAACGAAAAAGTGGTCAATAAAACTTAAAAACAACTACCTGCAGAAAAAATACTATATTATTTACCATGAATCTTCTAAACCAAATTGCAATTAAATTTATAATTCCGCCCCCACCATTGGATTTAGGGGGGATGGAATTCGGCCCCATGCCGACCCAGAAATTCGACCCCCTGCCGACCCAAAGGGTCCCCCATTGTACTATTTTGAGACATCCATTTTTGGTGACGGACCCTAGAATTTTTCTAAAGGCGCATTTGGCGCCAGTATATGAAAATTTTGAGGGGGGGAGCGCGCACCGAAAAATACGCAATTTTTTGGTCAAAATTTTCCAAAAATTGCCTAAAAACGCATTTTTTGGCCTGTTTTTTTTTGAAAATTTGGCCTTCGGTGCAGAAAATTTGGTCAAAATGGGGTCTTTATAGTGATTTAGGAAAGCTCAGAAAATCAATTTGGTCGACACCAAAAAAAAAATTCCACAAATTTTTGAAACTTTTTGAAAATCCCCCACCCCCCTCGAGAAAATACTAGATTCGCCCCTGCTTTATTTTAAAATTTATATCAGGGTTAAACTTTTCAGGTAATTTTTTGTTAGGTTTTGAAGATTGAGCTATTACAGAAGAAGATCATTGCCAATAATTGAAGTTTTTACCAGATGAGAGGGAAGAAAAATTCATTTTATCGGTGCTGATTTTTTTCTTGCCAATTGCTTCTCTATTTTTTGGTCCTTTGACTGCATTGATCAAAGCAAGCACAGAGAGTCCCAAATTTCCGAGACAGAGGAACGACTCCAGTACGAATCCCCACGACACACTGCATCGGTACTTCTCGGGGTCGTTTTCCTCCCGAAAAGGGAATTCCTCGAGGGTGCTGCAGTAGCCGAATAAGGAATAGTGCTTGTCGGGTAGCTCGTCTCGTCCTTTCGTATAGCCGACCATGTACAGGACGACAGTTGCAGCGAAACATAGAGCTACAACACCAGCCGGATTAGGTTTAAAAGAAGCCAAAGTTTATCATTTGACCGGTTTTGGTTTTCAGAGACAGGTTTTTGGATTTAAAACAGTTCGCTTTAATTTCTATCTCAAAAACGGAAACGTCCAGACATATTTCAAACTGATTCTGAGAACATTTGTGTTACAATATGAAACGATTATTTATAAACATGTTTGTAATTTAATTTAGAAATTATGACCTAAAAATCTTTTCAAAAAATCAAAGTTGAAAGCAAATCAAAAGTACTTAAAGTCTATATGAAAAAAAAGGTGTATATTCTAAATCAGAAACCTTTTTAAAATTTGAAAACTGAAAAAGTTATTGGCATTGTTCACATGAGCCATGAAAGTATGACCATAACCTGATAGCAGATGGGCTATGCTGACTGGTATGAACAACCACCTAGATTGAACACAACACACTCTCAGAATAATCAATGCCAAGATAGGGACTACACTAAGCACAGAGGCAGCTGCGAAGACAGTTGACCAAAAGAAGAACTGGTTGATCTCTTCGTCTTCGTCTGGAACTTCAATTGAGCCGAAGCAGGATTCAGAATGACCATAAATGGAAGCGAAGATATCGGAGCACTTCTAAAGTACAAAAACGTGTTTTTTTTTTGGTTATAATAGAACAGCCTATTTTACCCAGAGCAAAAACCGAGGGATCTTGTTATATATTCCCCCTCCCCCTATGGTACCTTGTTACGAATATCCCCCCTATAAAGAAAGAATTGAACAGTTAAGCATATACAAATTTGGTACCTTGTAATGAATTACCCCCTCCCCTCCTATTGCCAATAGGGGGGGGGGGATTGTTGACAAGATCACAAGATCCAAATCGAGAAGTTTTTTTTCGAGTTTTGGTTTATCAAAGTTCAAAATCATGACTGAAAACGGTTTTCGAGTTTCGGTAGAATAAAGTTCAAAATCATGACTGGAAGTGCCTATACATAATATATCACTCTACGCCATCTGATGTTTATTAAGTGCACCTATTTTCAGTTAGAAAAAAAATCCAATTTTTAAGTTCCATCCTAGCACGTGTTTGGAACATTCAACCAGGTACAGTAAACAGTCATAAAAACCTGGATATAATTTTGATGATTAAAAAAAACCACAGCTTTGCGAATTAAAACTTAGATGACATCAAGCTTAATAAAATAACGAGCAAAGCCCAAAAACCAAGACTGTTGCAGCGCAAAACGTAATTAATGCGTGAAACAAATCGTTCAAATTTAAAACTACGACCTACAAAAGAGCAGTTTTTTTGCACTTTTGCAGTTTCTGCAAAAGTCAAGCTGGTTTTTAACTGCTTCAAAAGTCAAGCAGTTTCGGAAAAAGTCAAGCTGGCGATGCGTCCGATATACGATGATGTAAGTAAAAAGTTTGAGTTATAGTCGTTTATGACTGATTATGTCCGTTTATACAAAAAATTGTGGATATATTCCGATTTATGACCAAACACGAGTATTTACCGAGAAATACGAATAAAATATTGATTTTAACTTTGTTTTGTGGAGATTAGCGCACATTTTGGCGCCCCACAAGGGACACACATAAATTCAGTAGGGAGTATCCCAGTCACGATTACGAAATCTAGTGTGTCCATCCCAGCCTCTAATACACAACATTTAACTGGCAAATATCGAGTATCCCAGTCACGATTACGAAATCTAGTGTGTCCATCCCAGCCTCTAATACACAACATTTAGCTGGCAAATATCGAGTATCCCAGCCACAATTACGAAATCGAGTGTATCGAACAGGACGACGGTGTATTTCTCTGCCTTGGTGTACACAGTGACCGCAGTAGCAACCAACCGGGAAAGCATTTCAAACGAACACTCGGGGACACTATCCACCAGCTGTTTCGTCTAGTGGCCAAGGGCTGGTTCGAACCGCCAGCAGAATTGGTTTGTTCTGTAGTGAGGTCAACTTTCCCTTAAAAGTTTGACGGACAGGAAGAGGAAGCGGAATAGGCCTTCATACAGGTTCGCCGGTGCACCCAATCTTCACAAAAACTGTAAGACCGAACCTAAACTTTTAATTTTGATAAATTACGGATACGATGTTTTATATAATAAATGTGAGACACAACGCCAGTACTCACCCCTAATTTTTCTCGATACCCGAAAATTTTTGGCCAGTTTGATTAAACTGAAATTGAAAAAATTGCTCTAAATCGGGTACTAGATAACCGGAACTAGATTTTTTGCTCGATAGCCAAAATGTTGGCTATTTTTTTGATGAATTGAAAATTTATAATATCGGAACATAGACTAACGGTTACTAGACTAATTTTTTGATACCAGTTATGACTCGAATCCACTAACCAAACTATACAAAATTTTGTTTGAAAATTGAAAATTTTCTGAAAAATTAGTCCAAAACTCCGTTGAACCGTATAGTTAAAGTATGTTTAGTTGTCTGGGTAGTTAATATCAGGCAAGTTAAGTAAATTTTTTTTCATCCTCCGGTTCACTCCGCGTGTGTTGTTGAGAGTTAACCGATTTGCCTGATTCTCCAACCCCATTGGTAAACTTAAGTTTTACAACGACTTGATACCTGTTTGCATTCGTTCGCTTTTCAAAACATTCGTTTCGCAACGACTGACTAAGTGGTCCGGGACGGTAAAATTAAGCAAGTTAAGTTGTTGTCTTTCATCCTCAGGTTTGCTCCGCGTGTGTTGTTGGTTTTCAACCGACTTGCTTAATTCCCAAACCTCTTGGTAATTCGTCGAGCTACTTGTACGACCGTTCAACAAATTTCGTACGCCGTAACATCATCCTAAGTGGTCAGGGAGGTGATATTAAGTAAGTTAAGTTGGTTTTATTCATCCTCAGGTTTACTCCGTGTGTGTTGTTTGATATCAACCGACTTACTTAATCCCCAGCCTCATTGGTAACTTTACTCACCGAAAACCGTTCCGAATCGCCCCGCAAACGCCCGATAACCGTTAAGTATAGTTTGAGTTAAGTATAGACCCTAGAGCTATGGATGAGAACTTTCTGAAGAGGGTTCAAAGGTTATTTGCGAAGCGAACCAAGCTTGAAAATGAACTGTACAAGTGCTATGAAATTATAATTGAGAACATTGAAAGTCAGAGTCGCTCATCAAAGATTGACACTCAGATTCAGAATTGCAAGAGCCTGATAGAGACTGCAGTTGAAATAAATGAGGAATTGATTAAGTTAGCTTCTAAAAGTGTTGATCCTGATAAATTGATACCAGCGCAGGATATGTGGCTTCATACGGTTACATCAAGAAACGATACAGTTTTACAGAAGGCTGCATCATATAAAGCTGGCTTAAACGTTGAACCTGAGGAAACAGAGCTTGACAATGTTGCAGAATCGTTAAGTACGATCGTAACAACATAACCACAAGATTCACATGAAGCAGATGCGCGCTCTAAGGTGTCCCGGTACAGTAGTCGACATCATAAATCAGGTTCGCATAAATCCAGTCGCTATACCGTCGCGCAGTCAAAAACATCAACTGAGAAGAGGCGAGATTTGTTGGTTTTGAAGAAGCAGCAAGAGGAACTTGAGAGACAAGCAAAGGTGTCATTGAAGTTGAAAGCGCAGCAAAATAAAATAAAAAAACAGCAAGGAAGTTTAGAGTTGGAAGAACTAGCTGAGGTACACCGCAAGAAACTGGCTGAAATTGAGTTAAAGGAATTCGAGTTGGAAGAAGAGCTTTCTGCAGCAAGTGAGAAGATAGGAAATGCTAGCGTAACACATGTTGACCCACAAAGTACTGAACAATGGGTAGAAAACGTTGTCACTGAGCAAGAGCAGGCCGAAGTTGTTGCAAGCTCAGAGCAAAGTCATCCAGTAGTCGAGAGTTCCACTTTGATTACTACTGATGTTTTGCAAGGGGTTGGTGCCGTCGTCAGCGCGGGTGCCGTCGTCAACGCTGGTCAAACCACATACAGTGAACCGGGAGGCCACAATAGGAATCGAATTCAGGCTCAGAGATCAAGTTTGGTCCAATCGCGTCTGTCATTGCACTCAATCGAGAACCCATCTAGTTTACCACAGTTCGTTGCCTCCAGCTCAAACTTTGTTACTCCACACTTAGCTTCAACACCTCATGCTGAAGTTTCGCAAAATCACAATCTGATACCACAAGCAAGTGGTAGCATTCCCGCTTCAATGCCCTTTGGTAATCCCACCATTAATGTGGCACCGCCTTCTGTGTCGACCGTTACTAATCCAGTTTCGCTTCCGGCGAGTCAACCTTTTGTTCCTCCATTAACCGTTCCGATTCCCATTTCGCTTCCGATTATTCAACCATTTGTCCCGTCAACCGTTCCTATTCCCTCTTTGCTTCCGGTCAGTCAGCCACATTCCGGCCCCGTTTCAACTGGGTATCAGGCGCCTGCAGCGCCATCCCATCAACCTATAAATGTTCCAAACAACCCAACAAGTTTCTCAAGTGAACACTATAACCCGTATAGCAGTTTGTGGAGACCTGCCGCGACTGCGCAAACGATGCCAGTTCCTCAATACTGCGCACCGCCCTCAAACGTTTTCTCAGTGACAACTCCTGTTGTTCCACCAAACACCGTAGTTCCTTATACAAGTTCTGGGACTGTGTATTACACCCAGCCGCAAACTCATCCAGTTGTTGAAACAGCGCATCAAGGTTATCCACCTACATATCCTGCGCCCACTACGGGCCCGTCTTACGTGCCTAATAGCGAACAACCCATCTCGGCGAGAGAGTTAGCAGATATCATTCTGCATAGCCGCAAAGACCGTCTACCGGAGTTGAACATGGAAGTGTTTGATGGAGAACCACTTAACTGGTATGAATGGTTCGGGCAGTTCCAAGCAACAGTTGATTCGGCTATGCTAACTGATGATGAAAAACTCAAATATCTGAAAACGCACGTTAAAGACAAAGCCAAGAGTGCAATTGCGGAATACGGCTACAGTGGAGTGTTGTATAAGGATGCTCTAGCAACTCTCCAGAGAAAGTTTGGGCAGCCTCATGTTGTAGTTGGTGCACATTTGGATAAGTTGAAGAATTTTCCCGCATTGAAGATGCACAACTCTGACCGTGTTATAAGTTTTTCTGCGGTGATTTCTGGGCTCGTAGCTGTTTTTAGGTCTTTGTCGTTCAATGACGACTTGAAAAGTGTGAACCTATTAAATCAAGCCGTCAGTAAGCTTCCTCCAAATCTAAAAGAGGCATGGTCCATGCATACTGTTAGACAACATTGGCAGCGATTAACATTGCTAGACTTCAACGATTGGCTTAAGAATAAGGCAGAAGGCCATGAGCGATTGAAATCTTTAGTCAAAGTCGAGCAGCCAGTTAAACAAAAAGTAGTTACAAAAGTGTTTGCAGGTAACACTAAGGTAAGTTCTAAGGATGAGAAAAGTAGAGAAAAGACAAGGTTTCCTCCATGCTCGCTATGCAAAGGGCAGCATGCACTCTGGAACTGTTCCGTGTTCAAAGAGAAAAACGCAACACAAAGGGTTAAATATGTAGCAGAACAAAAGCTCTGTTTTTCTTGTTTACAAGGCAACCATACCTTCCGAAAGTGTCAAAAGGCAAGAAAATGCCCAAAACAGGACTGT